TAAATATTTTATGTTTTAAATAAATATAAATTATATGTTTCACTTTTGTAATTTGTAAAATACTGTTTATAAATATATCTGTATTATATATACTATATTACATTAATTCAATTAAATATTATATTGTATGTTTAAATGGATATTTTATAATTTTAATTTGAGAATTTGATGTTTATTTTTATTAATCTTTGAAGATATTTAATAACATTCAATTTTAATTATAATTGTATTTAGTTATTTTATTTAATTTCTAGAGTTAATATTTTAAACGGGTGCGGGTCTATTGACCTAAAAACCAATTGACCTAAACTTAAATAACTTAATGACCAGTAGGTAAATATACCTACTTCGAGTGAAAGTGTTTCCCTCCAAACATACTCTTAGTGTCCAATCACATGGATTTGGAGGCATTCCTCGGAAGTCCGTATAAACCACTGGAAGTCATGGATAGTATTGAAAACCGTGCGGACATTGATAGCAATAATGACAATACGGTCGACCTATTGATGAATGGATTTACTTTTGAGTTTGAAATCCATAAAAGTAATAAAACTCTAATGTAATCATTGCAAATCCAAAACTAAAAATAAATATAATCATATTGTATTTTTATTATTTATTAACTTATTATATATTTTATGAATACTTGAATTTATTTTTGTACGCAAAAATGTCGGCTTTCGAAAGTGTTTTAAAACTATTATTTCAGTTTTTGTAAAAATGATTTTGTTAATTTTTAATTTTATTTTATTTTTTTATCACATTTTTAATGTTTTATAATTATAGCTTTTAAATTAAGTTTTAACGGGTGCGGGTCTATTGACCTAAAAACCAATTGACCTAAACTTAAATAACTTAATGACCAGTAGGTAAATATACCTGATGACCAGTGTAAAATGTTTCCCTTGACCTAACCTAACCTTACCTATCCTTACAATGGTCAAAAGTGTATTGATCATTAAGTTATTTAAGTTTAGGTCAATTTGCCAGTTCCCTTTTAAACAGAACTTAATTATATTATTAGTATAATGTTAAATAACATTTATTAATAAGTTGAAATACCATATATATTTTTATCAGTACTTATATACTACTTATAAAATATTAGACATTTTTGTGTTGATAAGTGTTCAGAGAAAGTGTCATAAATATGAGTAAATGTAATAACAGTTATTATTGTGAGATAGTGTCATAAAACAAATAAAAGTTAGTCAAACAATAATATATCATAATTAATTTCATATAAAAATGTGATTTAATTTGAAACATTGTTAACCATGATCAAATAATTGTGTAAAATGACTCTCAATTTACGACAGTTTACGGGCTATTTTTCCCGTAATATAGACTACAATAACATTATATTATATCATGTTTTCGACGACTATAAGGGAAAAAATTTTCTATACATTGTCAGCAATGGTGATGTGTATGCTATGGGCGCCAACAGCACCGGTAGTCTGGGTTTTAATCACAACAGGAATGTGGGACAACCAACACGTGTAGACGCCCTTTGCTCTCGCAATATATGCCAACTTCACAACGGTTTGTAATCAATACAATTGTACCATGGTTACTAAGTTAGTTAATGAAAGAAATCTATTTAAGAATTAGATATTTAAAATGAAGCGACATCTACTGAATATATTTTATATAGTTTTAAAAATTATTAATATGAATTTATAAAAATTAAAAATAAATCTCCCTGCAATTTCCAACCACTATTTGGAAAATTTGTTGGGTGATTTATTTAATTGAGTCTTGATCAATTAATTTACAGTTTGTCTATAAGTTTTTATTTAATTCAATATTTTTATAATTTTGTTTAGGATAAACTATTTAATTAAAAATAATAGCAATTACAATTGCACAAATTACTGTATTAAGCATAATATAATATTTTTTTTAATTTTCACAAATCAATATAATAAAATTATTACTTGCAAATGTTATACAGGTATGTCGCACGTGGTAGGAATTACTGAGCATGGTGACTTATACACATGGGGCAGTAATGTGAGTGGTCAATGTGGTACAGGTCAATCTAACACACATACATCACAATTACCCACTAGACTTAACATAGATGGAAATACCAAATTCACCAATGTAACGTGTGGGTGGAATCATACCATAGCCCTGTCCACAAATGGCCATGTTTATACATGGGGTGATAATAAACTGGGTCAACTGGGAATTGGTGTTGAGAAAAGTTTTGTTAATAAGCCTATTCAATTATTTGCCGATAAACAAGTTCAATTTAAACTAATAATAGCCGGTAGTAATCATTCCATAGCCGTAACATGGGATGGAGTAATGTATGGTTGGGGTGCTAACCACCATGGTCAATTGGGTCATACAAAAAATAAAATTCAAAATCATCCAATTAAAATTAAACTACCATTAAGTAGCCCTGTTAAAAGTGTTGTGTGCACTGAATATAGCACATACTTTTTAACTGCTCATGGTAAAATTGTTTACTATGGATCAAATGAACTAGATAATAATTATTTGCATACGGTTAAGAATACTGAACAATTTAGTAAAATACACACGATTCAGCATGTTTATGGCAAATATATTACTGTAGCTAAATCCAAGGATAATCTTGTTTATGAACTAGATCATGGCAAAAATAAATTTATCAAGACAAAATATACAAGGTTATACGATTTTTATTATAGCAGATATGGAATTACTCATAAGTCTATTACGAAATGCTACATTAAAACTACACAAAATATTACACAAAATGATCTTGGAGAAATAAATGGAAATATTAATAACAAATTCACTGATGTCCAGGTGCTATTTGTAGGAGATTTTGGTACTGAATTACATCGAGTAAAGATTGAGAACAGAAGTTACTTGATTAAAAAGTACATGATATGGGGTAAGTTTTTAAAAATAATTACTATCTAGATTTTAGGGTAATAGTAAATAGAATATGAATATAGATTTTTATTTCTAAATAATAATAAAAATTACCAAGCTGAAAAAAATTGACATTTAATGGCGAAGCCAATTAAAATTATACTAAAATGAAGTATGCTACATTTAATGAATTTATTTATAATTACAGTTTTATATAAACATCAGAAATAAATTCCTAAATATTTTATTTAACTTTAAATTATTATATTAGCATGAACTTTAATTGAACATTATCATATATCTGGATAGGTTTACAGTAAATTAACCTAGATAGAAATTGCATTAGAATATCTTAATATTAAATTCTCATTTTAGTTATTATATTTGAACTTGCTTTAATTTTAAAGATATCCTTGATGAAAAGGAATTTATAGAGAAAATTAATACTGTATTACAAATTACCCACGATGGGTTAATAAAATATCACAAACCTTGGTTATCAACCAATTGCATATTTATTCAAATGGAAAATTGTGACACAAATTTGGCTTATATTATGAAACATATGGCAAACATCGAGGACTATAATAGCAATTATCAGCATAAGTTTTGTATTAAATATTACATATCATGTGAAATATTTATGGATATCATAAATGCCTTAAATTACCTACACCAGCATAAACCACAAATTGTGCATGGATATTTAAGCCCTCATAACATATTGTTTTATACAAGTAACACTGGTGATTTTGGATTTAAGTTAAGCGGTTTTGAATTGACTAAATTGGATTGGACTGATAAAAAATCACCAACCAACAAGTCCAACTATTTTATTTATAGAGCATTAGAAATTGAGCAAGGTCTCACTAATGTCTGCGAATCAGATGTTTATAGTTTGGGTGTCATTAGCGAGCAATTATATTTCATCAAGGAACTAATGTAAGTTGTAAATTGAGAACTGAATAATATTAATTATATTTTCTATGTTAATAATTATTTATATAAAGTATTCTAATTGTTTTGGCTCATAATTATATCAATTAACTAGCACACAAATTTTATATTAAACTGTAAGCGATTATAAAATATTGTGTTTTATATTATGATTTTTGATATTATTTTAATAATGGATTAGAGACAACCGATTTATTATATTTTTTTAGAAACTTATAATATAAGTTAAGATACTAATACAAGTTAATATGTTTTACATACTATACATACTAATTAAGATATTAATTATTTAACCAATGAACTAATATAAGTTATAACTTAAATAATACTAATTTCATGTTATAGCCTATATTGGAATGTTAATATGTTTTTAAATTGTTCTGCCTTATAAATTATTAATTAACTTGTACCATATTTAATATTTAACTGTAAATGATTAGAAAAGTTTGTGTTTTATATGATGTTTTCTGATATTAGTTTTAAAATGGACAAATGTATGTGAACCTTTATTGTTTACCTATTTATAAACTTACATTTATTCAAATTAAGCTTTTAATTATTTTACCTAGTAGATAAATCTAATACAGTATAAGTTAGTGCAGAAATAATACTAATTTTATGTTATATGTTAATATATTTGTAATTGTTCTGTCCCATAATTTATTACTTTCCAAATTAATATAATTCAAGATTTCAATTTAAAACTGTAAATAATGATTAAATATTCTGATTAATATAATTCTAGGTGAAAATAATTAATAAATGGTTAATTAAAAGCGTGAATATTTTTTTTACATAACAATGATTATCATTTAATATACAAATTTGGTTTGAAAAGTTTTATTTTAATTTATCTATTATATCGTGATTAGCGTTTGTAAAATAAACTTAATTTTAATTTTTAACAGAAAACACGATCGATATAAGAAAGTACAATTAATCGCCGATAAAACTCAACACTTATTAAACATGATTAACAAAATGCAATACAAACTACACTACACTAGACGACCCTCGTGTCAGGACATAATAAATGAGCAAGCTAAATGGCGATTAAGTTTCAACGAATTTTTCCAACATTACACCTGGAAACACATCGCACGATATATTGACCTGGATCAATCACGACCAGTATACAGTGTATTGCAACGTAAATTCAAACAGTACGAGGACGAAATGATTGTACTTGCTAAAATTAAAAAACAAAAATTGAGAGAGGGCATTTTTGATGAAGCATCACCTACTATGGTTGATGACCAGGGAGGTCAGCAAGCAGGTATTTATTTGATTAAATAGGTACTTTGTAACTACTATAATTATTTCAATTAATTTCATATAGTAACTGACCTGGACCTAAAAGCTACCGTTCCCCTCGCAAACATCGAGTCCTACCTGTGGGGCAGTTGTTTGGATAAGGAGTTTGCGTTGAGCGAGCGAACCATAGGGTGCGGTATATTCGGTGTTGTAGTCAAAGGTAGACATCGACTGGAGGACAGGGATTACGCTATAAAACTGGAGTTTATTTGCGGTAATGTATAAAACAATACTTTTGAATAATTTACTTTAATATTAATATTTCACTTATTTATATCAACTGTAACAAAGTATATGAAAATACAATTTTAGACATAAATAATAGCGCTTTATTTCATTGGCGATATCATCGGAGTCTACTAACTATTTATAATTAAACATTATTTTTAAATTTTAGTTTTATTGATTGCCTACACTATAAAGTTATAGTAATATTTAATTAAAATAATTTTTTTATAATAATAGCCGACTCCGAGCACAGCCTACTCCAGGAGTGCAACCAAAAGCTCCAACGCCTCCAACCCTGGGCTGAACTCGACTCCATATACTGTGCCAAATACCGGCGCTCGTGGATGGAAAGGGACGATCGATCGCGTGATCGCTTCATAGACTACTGGCGCGACGCCCAGGAGGGCCGGCAGTCTAAGGATGACATCCGACACATCATTAACGCCGTATACCGTCCGGCCCGACATTACGCTATACTACACGTCC